TTTCGAGAAAACATCTGACTTCGGCTAAGCAATTCAGTTAATAGCTGACCCCTATGGGAACGGCTTTAACTTTGGATGATAAAATTAATTGTTTTCTGTCTGTTCCACTCATTGGCAGTGATCAGTGAAGTTCTCCATATCTTGCTGTATGACGATGATAATTTGCTCCACTCATTCAACCCTTTTCAACTAGCTTTCTGGTTATCAACAACGCTTAGTAGGTGAAGCAACTTGTTTTAGATGTCTCATTTTCCGACCAAGAAGTGACGATTGAACCACACGTACTTCCTTTAATTTACTGCGGCTGGCTCCTTGGAAAGGGTAAGCCGGCTCCAGACATGATCATGAAATTCCTTGGGAATTTGGTACGAGAGACGTCCCCAGTGTTACTCGGCGTTTTTTTTATTTAGAGGGCGCACCTCTAGCCTCCGCAAATCAGGTGCGAACTGCAAGGCAGCAAGAAGTAACCCCCCGCCCCGGAAATGAGGGGATCAATGAAAAAAGCCAGTCAAATCGACCTTTTTCACGAAACGGTCATGGGGTTTACGTGGCTTTTAAACAGGAGCCAGGTGACTAGCCCGAAACCCACCACACCCAGGCAGTGCCGCAGCTGTTTGTTCGCGACTGCTTATTTGTTGTGGTACGCCACAACTTATTCACAGCTAATCTTCTTCCGTGAAGGTATCCCCTATCCACAACCCGGGGACGCGCCTGGTAACATTCAGCTCTACTTAAGCCGAGGGCATCCAGGATGATGAATGAATCACTCACCCATACATTCCTGGTTGTGGCACCGGTTGTAGTCATCGGCTCGATTGGGTATGGGGTTGTATTGGACACTTTGAACCTTTGACCCCGTCCAAAGGGCACATAATCGGATGAACTGAACACTGGCCCCCAATGGATTATGGTTTTTAAATACCGCCCCGCTGCGTTGTCGGTCAGGCTTTGGATACCGGTCAGTGAAGTTCGCTTCATTGTATCTCGCTGTACAATGATGTTGATGATTTGGATGGCTGAAGGCTTCATTTGTGAATTCCTCAGGAAAATTCACCTACCCTGGGCTGGGCAATCCGGCAGTATTCCGTCTACAAACGAAACATTGAACTTCTTTCTTTTTTATAAAGATTATTGTGCTGGGCTTTGTTTGGCAACTAATCTGGACTGGAAGTGTGTGAAATATATATATATATATATATATATATATATATCATTATCCGAATATCATCATGTCCATTATATTTATCGTGTTAGGTCTCCGTTAGCCTGAAGCCTGGTATGTTCACTACCGCTTGATGATTTAATCTGCTGCATCCTTGACACATCTTACCGGTGTGAGTCACAGGGCCTCTTCATAATCAGACTGGACCCCAAACGCACTGTTTCTGATCACGAAAGGAGGATCTAATATTTAGATTGTAATAACTAACCGTTAATAAGAATAAAAAACGTATTTCTACTGTCGATTTTGTTTTTTTTCTGACGCTTTCAGACAGGCATGCTTCTGTTTCAGCAATCTTTCTAATACCTGGTTCTTTCTCAAGCGAATGTTGTGATGACGTCTTCCATTGAAACAGCTAAAAAGCGAGCTTGTGAGCTTGCTGTGAATGAGTGGCTCAAGGTAAGCCTGTATTCACAATTTCCTGAGAAACCCCTATAGGATGGACAAGTGATTGGAGTGGGTAGTGGCACCACAATCGAATATGCTGTAAAAGCTATCGGTGAGTACACGTTTCTTGATACTCAGTGCATCATTGCAGCAAATAAGGTCGCCCAGGAAAAACTAAATATCAAATGCGTACCGACGTCTTTCCAGGTCTGTTCTACGTATTGTTGGACTGACTTATATCAATTAAGGCAAAAGAATTAATAGTCCGATACAACTTGAATTTGACCAGCTTAGACGTAGATGAATCCGTAAGTTGAATACCCATTGACCGTCCGCCTAATAAAAACAGCTTGATGTAGCATTCGATGGTGCAGATGAAATCTGCGAGGATTTTACTCTCATCAAGGGTGGTGGGGGTTGTTTACTTCAGGAAAAAATTGTGGCCTCGTGTGCCTCAAATTTCATAGTGCTGGCTGACGAACGGTGAGTAATTTTGGTGCACTTGGTCTTCTCCACTTAGCTTCTCTACTGACGAATTTTAGGATTTATTTCTGCAGTAAGGACTTTATGGTTTTTGTATTCCATGCGATACTAGTGAAGGAAACCAATTTCCGACTGATCCGGTTTTTATGCCTAAGCATAAGCGATCAGTTTCTCAACACAAAACGTAATTATGTAATGGTTTTCTGTTAGTCATCCTGCCAACTTCTATACTGTTTTAATTTAGTCTGTACCATTTTGCGGTTGTTAGTCCTTGCTGTTAGTTTTGTTGTGAGCATTTAGGCTTCCGAAATCTAATCTATCAACTGTGGATCAGCGACGGGTTGCCACATTGGTCTGTGCGCTCTTCGTTTTTCAAGATACCAGGAGTCATAGACCTCAGTTTCTTCCCTAACCTGAAACTGAAAAAGTTATTAGTTTCAGTTCTAGAATGTTATTGTCGTAAACCATTCGCTATTTTGTCGGTAGTGTGATTTAGGCTATGTTAAGAATCAACACTGGCTCACATAAGTCCCGTTAGGCTCCCTAGCTGGGTACCTCGGAATGATCGCAGCCGATGGTTAAAGACACTGAGTGATATGGCTGTGTTGTAAATAGTGGCACTCGTACTTCTTTGTAATCTTAGTCTACTGAAGTTCTCCATTTTTTCTTTCCACCCTACTTTAAATTTTACTGCTTTTGTCCTACTGCTTCGTCCAACTACGCAGTCAAAAGACAGTCGCATGGTTAATGGTTGTACAAACCTAAACTGGAACCAAGAGTCAACCGATCGCTCTAAAATTCATAGCATCATGGTAACTTGACGTATGGTTAATATTGACCCATATGCCGGGGTTAGATGCACTCGTTTCTGTGATTCCAACCTGCATTAGACGAGGTAGCATATTTAAAATAACTGGAAAAATGCCTTTATCCGCACTTCTCTGCTTTATCTCCAAGGTATTGACGTTTTCTATTCCAAATCCGTTTTCAACTCTTCTTTCTTTCCCTGTATGTCTCACAAAGAAAATGTTCAAAAAAACTTGGTACTCATTGGTCCAAAGGTTTACCAATTGAAGTCATACCAATGGCCTTTCGCCCGGTTCAGTCGCGGATAGAAAAACTATTCGGAGGCAAAGCTGTTCTCCGACCAGCAATATCCAAAATGGTAAACATTCTTCCGCTTACCTTTTCTTCCACTAGTTATGTGTTGCCGATCATGTTTTTTTTCTGGGGGCTACAACGACAGTATCTTGAAAATCACTGTCAACTATTGTCATCTCTTCATCTCACAACTTTTTCAAACGGGGGCCTAAGCATGTCGTCGGGGAGATTGGCGACCAGCCATACTTGACCCAGATGATCAGTGTGACAAGTCCTAGAGCGTCCGGTTACGATGATACTCTGGAGAATTGCATAACTGTACTTTGCCAGTCTCGTCCGCGGTGTATGAATAGGGGAATATCCTTACCAAGGGTTAACTGTGAATGAGTCGCTTAAAAGTAAGGTAAGGGTAAAGAGAGAGAAATCCATTGCTGCCTTGTTATCATCTGCCTGAGAAATCTAGTCTGTCGCGGCCTACGGCATGTGAACTTGGTGCTACCGGTCTATGTCTGTATGCATGTGATTACCGGAATCGCGTATGAACCACTTCGGTCATCTGCAATCATGTGGCTGCAGCTCCCGACTCTGTCCTGCGGGTTTGGCTGTGAATAACCGAAGGTTCCAAATCAAACTCCCTAAGGATGTCCCTTATCCAGTCTGGGCACCCGGGAAGTGGGTTACCTCGGGAGTTGTTGGGAATGTCTTCGTGTTCCGTATTCCCAAGAGTTCATGAATATTAAATCCACGAGACCAGCGCGTCCTCTTGCAGGAGAGAGTCTCACCAAAGTGAAAAGGCGTGGCCATCAGTGATATGTAGGTAGTCGTTGTTGGATTATCTGCACAGTCCTGTGATCACTATTTCAGGAATTTGCCGCCAAAATTCAAAGACTAATAGCGTACTGCACAAATGGGAACGTGGATGACACTCGCAGCGGTAGTTTGGGGGTGAAATTCCTAACTTCTGGGTAGCCGCAATGATGTAATCAATGGTTTGACCGCCGGCACCGCCTAACATGACTATGAGGTGTAGATCGTTCATCACACCAAGGTATGTGACGCAAAAAGGAAGTCTCGTTTTTGGCATTTATCTTCCGGTTCTTTCACGAGTACCTGATCTACTGCCCTCCAGAAAAAATGGTTTTTATCTCGATTATGCCTGCCCCACCACCATTAAATCTTCGTTTCCTAACATGCTCCGTACTCGTGTTATGGCAAGTTGCTTGTCTAACTCCGGGCTTGCAAACTAACGGGACCGAACCAACCATAATGCGGTGGTATACCCTTTTTCTAATAACTTATCGACTCAACAATTGCTCTCCAAGATAAATATGTCTTTCAGCAGTTCATCTCATGATGTCTATCATTTTATCTGTACTCGTACAAACATGGTACACACGCCGCAGTTTTGCCGTTCGACGACCGCGCGGGAGTAGTGCGAGCAGTCAGTCAGTTGAAGCACCTCTGTCACCTACTCTTCAATGAGAGCGAGTAGTATTTATATTGTGGATGAAAATGCTGCTATAGGTCTGTGAAATGATTCATCTGATGAAAACCCAGAGAGTAATACATCACTCAATGTTATTCTGGTGCTGCTTAACCCTGTAATTGATGATTAGAAACACCAGGTAATATGGCTGAGTATCGTAAATAGCGGCGCTAGTGTACCGCTTCAATTTATTCGCAACATTAGTCTACTGAACGTCTCCATTTTCTCTGCGACTCTACTTCCACCTTTCCTATCTTTCTCCTACTGCTCCATCCAAATGGGTCACCAAAAAAGCGGCTCACGAAACTGCATTGGTTGTACAAAACTGAAAAGTGGTTCGCCATAGCTTTGAAAGAAATGAGCAATGGACCGTTAGATAGACGGAAGCCATTTTGAATTGGAGTTTCTGGAGCATTGCGAGAAAATCGTATACAATATCATTCGACAGAACTAGTTCGTTCTTGTTGAGGCACATATTAGCAGTGCTTATCAGTTTTTGTTCTGTATCCTTACCTGTACTGAAACACTGAGAATTCCAATTGGTTGTCTCACCGTTTCAATTTTTACAACCATTAACCATGCACTTTCGTGCGCCGGTTTTTTTATTGCTATCTTATGGTCGCCCATTTGGATAAAAGAAAATAGAATGAGGAGTGGAATGATGAAAACAAATTCCAACGGAATCTGGAGAATTCATATCGAGTTGTTTTAAGAGAGTAGATGCATGAGGGCTACCGCTTGCAACACCCAGCCATATCGCTCAGTGTCTCTAACCACCGGTGACCATGATTTCCGGGTCCCCTCAGTCAGGGAGCCTGACGGGACCGATGTGACCCAGTCTCCTGATTGAAGGGTTTTCATACCCTCGTCCGGTTTTCGTTTGACCACCCTTGACCTTTTCCCACCCGCTTCGGCAAACATCGCTCGCCGTGGCAACTTATCCGGTGACTTGTCTAACGCATGTCCCAAACAACGTAATTTATGGAGGTCGACTACCTGCTCCAGTGGAGGACTGTGACTACCTAAAACTTTACACCTAACCTCGTTATTGCTTGTCCAGATACCCCACCGGACCCGTGCAATGTGACGTAGACAGCGGTGTTCGAACAGCGATAATCTATTTTCACCATGTTCCCTTAGTAGCCTGCACCGTAGAGCAGGACTGGCCGAACTGCTGCAGCGTATACTCGAGCTTTCACAGATAGCCGGATGTCGCCTGTGAAGGGTCGAGTATATGCTACAGCAGTTCGGCCAGTTCTGCTATACGGTGCAGAGGCTTGGTCTCACGCACCACGGATAGCTTCCCAGTGCTTTTGTTGACGTGATAGGCTTTTGTTGCGTATCACACNCCCCTAGTTACGTGGGAAGCGAGACATAAACCGGAACGGTAGGTTTTGGTCTCTGTGCATTCGCATACGAGATAGTGTCAGACTAACCGAGGTAGTATTTTGATAGACAGTTTTGATACCATGAATTTCTTACAAGGCAGATCTTTTGCATGTCATTACCTCTCTCGCTTTCGCAACTACAATTTGGCTTATGATGATCAGTTTTGTCTGTCCTGCGGTTTACCATGCTATACAAGGCAGTCAGTCGTTTTTAGCATCATTACTCTACGTTCGTTTCGTAGTTCATATCAAGTTTCAGCGACTTCCTCATTCCCGTGCGATGCTCACCTGCTTGTTGTTGTTCCCGTTCCGTTTTACAGTCTCTTTTTTTCCGAGCACAAGAATTCGTTTCAAATTAGGCAGAACTCTCCAACTGGTCTGTCGACTATCATCTGCGTACCGGAGCATTTTCCTCTCGTTCCACTCACTTGATACACGGTCATTCCATACTCATACTGGTACAGGCGACTTCACCGTGTGAGCTCGATCACTAGGGCACGGTCGTGTTGCAGCAGACCGAATGTTGTAAACAGATAAACGTATGTGTGCTGGTCAAACGTATCTATTCGGTCATCAGCACAGTTTTCTCTACCCATGTGGACCTATTTGTATGCCTTTAAACATCTTTTTCACTGTTGTCATTGATTACCGGGACCGCTATCGTCGTTCTAGTTTGTTTGCATCCTGTTCCCCCATCCCATTTGTGTACTTGTTTTAGGGTCCACAATTGACCGATAACGGGAATTTCCTCATTGATTGGCATTTCGATCCTAACCTGGACTATGATTGGCCCAAAGTGGAAATTGAGCTCCTACGTATTCCCGGTAAGATGTGGTTTCTCACGAGCGAACTATGAAACTGTGACTGAATTGCTTCAGAAATATTCTTTGTGTACAGTCGCTTCATGCGCACATCAAAAATTGTGGTTTGTGAATTTTTCTTATATGATGAACTCGTCGTGTAAATCCGGCGTGAGCTGCAAACCTGGGAAAGCTGTTTCGACCTGGTTCAGTCTCATCAGCAGTACGAATACGCTGATACTCGCAACAAGCTCCCATAGATGAACTGTGTTATATCCTGTGTAATAGAAATGAGAAGCCGTCTGATCAGCTGTCCAGTGGCCGAGTTGGTAGTACGCTTGCGTTCTGCCTGTAAGGTCCTGAGTTCGATCCGCATTTGGTTTGTTGGATTCGAACTGCTGCTGAGACTTAACCAAGTCGAAACAGCCGTCCAGCGCTTCGTAGCTTTTCAGCTCGCCTCATTTACACGATGAATTCATCATATAAACAATTGTTTCCTATCTTCAAAACTCATAAAAATCGTCCGAGTTCATCACGGAATGTGGTGTTCGTCAGGGTTGTTCCATCTCTTTCTCCTTTTCTATTTAACTTTGTCATAGATTTAATCCTGAAAACAGCCCTATCCTCTTGCGCGCATAGCGGCATCCATTTACCACCACTTGGTAAACTGCCTGATTTGCAGTATACAGACGACACTGTTCTGTCAAGTGATTGATGATCTAGGTAAGTTGCAAGCTTTTTTGGATAGGTTGAGCGCCAGCGTAACCATGTTCGGTATGCGTTTTGCACCTTCAAAGTGTGAAATGTTACTGTATGACTGGGTTGGTCCGGCACCCAGTTTCACTCTGACTGGGGAAGTAGTAGAGGAAGTAGACAAATTTTGCTATCTGGGCAGATATATCTCACCTGGCGGACGCATCACAAACTAAGTGTCAGGTTGCCTACAGAAGGCTCGATCGGCATTCACCAACTGCAGACATCTGTGGCTTCGTCGCGACATCCTGCTATCTGTAAATGGGTGAGTATAATCTGCAGCAGTTAGGCCAGTCATACTCTACGGTGCAGACTTGACCATTGCGAGGACGGAATAAAAGTAGATTGTCAGTGTTCGGACACCGCTGTCTACGCAGCATTGCACGGATATGATGGGGCAGCCGGACGAGCAATGCTGAGGTTAGGCGCAGAGTTGTGAGTAATTGCGGTCGCCTCTTAGTGCAAGTGGTCTACCTTCAGAGATTACGTTGGTTGGGACATATCACCAGAAAGGTTGCCACGGCGATCGATATTTGCCGAGGCAGGTAGTGGGTGGACAAAAGTCAAGGATGGTCAAAATAAAACCTGACACGAGGGTATGAACTCCGCCCTCTCCCGCCAACCAGGAGACTCGGTCACAGGTCGCGTTAGGCCCCTTGGCTGGGAATCCCGGGATGATTGTAACTGGTGGTTAGAGATATTGAATGATATGACTGAGTGTCGTAAACAGTGGCGTTCGTTCATCTTCTCAGTTTCTTTGTAACATCAGTCTACTGAAATTCTCCACTTTATCTTCGACCCTACTTTCAACGTTCCTATCTGTCTTCTATTGTTCTTCCAAACGGGCAACCAAAAGGCAGCAACCGAAAAATCGGCACACGAAACTGCATGGTTAATGGTTGTACAAACTGGAAGTTAAACTGATGCTCAGGTAATGCAAAGGAATTTGATGGGGAACGAAGTTGCCAATGTGTCATCTGAGCATCGATCCCGCAAGCAGTGTGTCGTGCAAACAAACAGGAAGAAACTTAATAAAAACAGATTTGTACAATCTTTGATCGAACACGGAAGGTGTTACTATCATCGAACGGTCACGATACCCGATTAGGTTGCACACATACATACACCCGTCTGCACCCGAATCAGGCCTCTTTTCTGTGGTCGGAATTTTCTCTTCTTGTCCATTGTGAACGAGGAAGGTAAAAATAGCGCGGGATTACCGATTGGTCACGTGTTTTTTTCGCATGCCACACCATTTTCGAGCAATGCAAATGCACTTTTTAACATGCTTTCAAACAAACCAGCAAGCACACTGTGCTACACAAACCCCGGGTATATGTATATGTTGCTTAATCGATCCCCGGGGCAAGGTAATCGGGATCGGGGAAAGTAGGGGATGCTGTTCTCTGTCACTGCTGTTGCTGCTGCCCGCTGCGTGTGCATTCCCACTTCATATGAAAACCCATGCTTGGTCTGTGTGCAGCGGTAATGCGAATTGGGCCAAACTGCCTGAGGTACTGGCAGGCTATCCGAAGTTTTGTGTATGTTGACGTATGTAAGTTCCTAACTTCGTTTAAATAAAATGGCAGATCTACTGAGGTATATATATATATATATATATATATGTGTGTGTGTGTGTGTGTGTGCGTAGATTTCCGGATTGTCAACAGTCGAACAGTTCTGTGTATGGGTCTAATTGCACCCACCGGAAGTGCATGTCAGTCGGACGGGTTTAATTGCCGGG